CCCCAAAACCCCAAAACCCCAAAACCCCAAAACCCCAGAGGGTAGTTTTTATTGAATTTTATAAATCATAAAAACCTGTACATAACCTTTTACCCCTTTACACTTCTTTGCAATGTCAAATTTAATGAATAAAAACTTTGCCTCATTCAAAGTCAGATTTTTACGAATTCGTAAAAATTTTGCACTAGGTTTCATACAAATTTGGGATTTGAACTGAGCCATGGCCAGGAGTCCGGGAATTACTTGGGTCTAGGATAAAAGGTCATGAACGGCTAAAGGAGAGATGTTTCGAGGAAGAGGCAGAAAAGGATTAGAGATGGGAATAAGAGCAAGAGGAGGGGGATGAAAGGATTCTAGGGGAGTTTGTATGAATAGAGATGTAGATTGCTTTTTACAACCTGATAGGAGTCAAAAATTTTCCTTCGTAAAATCTTACATTTGATATGTTTTGAGATTCAAGATTTCTAGCCTTGAAGAAGTAATGAATTTCGATTTTGGACAGAAAGCTATGGTTAAATTTCACCAATACTGCTCTTATCAATACCTCATTAACCGATAAAGCTTTATTTGCTTCAAAATAATCTCAAAAAATCATATCTAGCCCTAAAACACAAACCACACAAAAATGATCTCTATCTCCTCCTTCTCAAAAATAACACCATTTCCAATCCAAACTCCTCATATCCAACCAAAATCCATTTCCAACTCCCAAAAAACGGCTTTCCTCAATCCTTCTCAAAATCCTCAAAAATCACCGAATCAGTAAAATTCCCAAAACCCACTTCAAAGTAAAAATCCTTAAAAATCTCAAATAATTAAAAACCCATTAAACATAAAATTCCTTCACGGTTTTTTATTCTTTCTAAAATAGGTAGAATTTCTACATGCCTTGGTGAGATTCGAGGTAGAATTAGAACAACTGAAAGAAAGAATTTTTTACCTTAAAGAAGGGTTTGAGGGGCAGGATAGAGTATCTAGAGCAATGCAGAATTGTAGCAAGGAGATTGGTACTGGCTGCAGGTTGTCAGAAAGTGAAAATAAGAGCATTTTGAAAATTTTGAGTAAATTATTCCTCTTTTTTTGGGCTAAGACTTGAAGAAGGCTCCTTATTGTCGCTGTATTCATACATTTCTCTTTTTATACCACCAGTGGTTTTGTTTGAGCTCATAGCAAAATCATTTCATTTCTAAAATAAATAGCAATTCAATTGAATTATCATAATTTGGGGTTTTGGGGTTTTGGGGTTTTGGGGTTTTGGGGTTTTGGGGTTTTGGGG